AAAGTTACTCTTTTTCTATGGTTTTTTTCCCCTTTTCTTTTTTTTCTTTTTTTTTGCAATTCCAATTTTGCTAATTCCTCGAACTTCCCTTTTTTCCCTTTTTTGTTTCCTTGTTTTTTATCTTATGACAAAAAATTTTAAAGAGATTTTTTTATTACTACATGAAACTGGCTATTATACAAAGTACTGTATGAGAAGAAATAGGTCCTGTTCTTTCTTAAATTAATGTTTCTCTTACTCTGAGCTTGATTGCTGATATTTGAGAGCTTCTGGCTTCTTCCAAATGCCTTCTGTTTCTGTCTCTGACACAGTCTTTCAGTTCATCACAGTGATGCACCTTGAATGTAAAATTAATAATTTTTCTAATACTCAGATGAAAAACAATAGCCCAGTTAATCAAGATATGTGCCTTGGGATGGATCAGTTTGACTTCTAAATATGAATTCAAAAATTTACCACAGAATTATAGAATCGTCATTCTGGTCTGGTAGATGGTTCAACATATCTAACATATTATGCTTAAATCGTACCAGAGTAATTCAGAACCTCTTTAGAAATTTAATAGCTTGGTTTTTTGCTATAGTAGTAACCTTGCTGTTGAATACATGATAAGACATATCTATAAATATAATATCAATGAAACCTTTGAATATTGATTTTGTTCATGGATAAGATTTCATATAGAGATTTCATGTCAGCCATGAAGGTTTAAGACATTCTTTAAGGAGCATGATAAAAAAAATTGGCTATAGAAATATATAAGAATCCAGATTTATTTAAAGTAAATTAATGAGAATACACAGGGCAATAGTGAAAATGCAGTTATATATTTGAGCTTTTGTTCAATGCAGCAAAAAAGCATATAAAAGATATGAAATATTCTAATTATAAAAAAGCTTAACTATGTTTATATAAGACAAATAAGATACACATACATTTTTTGCACGTATGCAATCCCAGGGTTGTTGGTTAGATTGCTAAACCAAAAGAGGCAATGGAAAACAAGTCCATGCTGCTGCCAAGAAACCTACACAGTTGCATCAATATGGTCACTAAGGGCTAAGCATAATTTGAGGGTGTCTCCTTCTGAGTAGATGTAAAGTATCCTACATACATATCCACATATATACAAGATGTAATTGCATTACTGCTACTGTATACTGTTAAGTCAGTAATATTCTTAGTTTTGAAATGAAACATTGCGATTTGTAGTTTCAAGACTTGGAACAATAACTATTAACCCTTTGAGGCTGCCCAAATCAAGAAAAAAAATACTGCAGATTCCAGGAAAACTATTTTATTGCTGTAGTTAAAGTAACAGAATCTTGAAAGCCTGTTCGTGTCAAAGTTGAATCACTATGAGACCTGCTAGCTCCTATCACCAATCAACTTGCCATAGAAAAATGGGGAGGGGTAGAAAGCGAAGGGAGGAAACTGGATTCCAAGAAACTGTTCATCAACCATGAGACCTTGCAGGAATGGCAATGTCACTAAGGCAGGTGTTTGACGGGGAAGTGGACCGTTCCCATAACAAGCTGAAGTACTATGATTGGACAATGGAGGTACCCAATGGGTGAGGGCAAGGGACGCTATTGTTTAACTAAGCAATCTTTCAAGTGGGAAAACTAGAGCTGGTTTTGCTTTTTCAGTTCTGAGATGTGTATTCAATAAAGTTTTATCTTTTATGGCAGTTGTCTTCAAACTTGGCCCTTTTATGACTTGTGGATTTCAACTCCCATAATTCCTCAGCCAGCGTGCCTGACTGAGGAATTCTGGGAGTTGAAGTCCACAAGTCATAAAAGGGCCAAGTTTGAAGACCCCTGTTTTATGATGTTCAAAAGCCTTGAAGATTTTTTTTTGATTCACTAGTCAGACAGTTGACAGTTCAATTTTTTTTAATCCCACCATTTCTTACACTAAAGAAATTCAAAGCAATCTCTAGCCTATGAAATCTTTTCATCCATTCCTCCTTGAACCTCTTTTTTATATTGCCCCAAAGCCATCCCTAAATTCCTTTATAATAAGCTGACCCTTATTATTTGTGTATTTATACACATCTCAATATAAAAGGGGAACTGCAGTAACAAGGGAGAATGATCTATTGTATGTGAAATATGGCCAAATTGCACTATGATAAATCTAGAGAAGATTTATTATAGAAAACTATTTATAATGAATCTAGTTTGACAGGGACATCTCTATGGCAGCTGAATGCCACTCACTTTCTTAAGCTCATTTGCCTGTTCATTTTTAGAGGCTAAGAGAAGCAGGCCGAGGCTGTTGGGGGTATTAAATGGAGAAAACAAGATATTGTCAGAGGAATGTTTTTTACTCAACCAATAGAAAAGATAAGAAGCAAATTTAGCATTGGCTTCAGCGAAGGAAGTCACGATGGAGAAAGGAAAAACCATATCAATCCACTAGTTCACGTTCTCTTAAAAGACTATGTTTACTACCAAGTCTGAGCAAACCAAGTGCCCAATGCAAGGAATTTGCTTAGTAAAAACACAATATGAAAGAACTACCCAAAGTCAAAAGGATTTGCATTATTTATTTATTTATTTATTTTATTTATTTAAATTTATATCCCGCCCTTCTCCTTGCGGACTCAGGGCGGCTGACAATCAGGTAAAAATACAAAAATAACACTACAAATTTAAAAATTAGTTAAAAGGGAAATATTTGAATTTGGTCAAATTAAAATATAATTAAAACCCCCTCTAAAAGTTTCCCCTAGGCCAGTCC